GGGTTACAGGTGACTTCATGATACATAACAGTAGCAACAACTATGCTGTGGTACCAAGACCCCTGAAGTAGTGAATATGACTCCTCAGCTCTTTTCATTGATTGTTCTTTTCACAATTATGTGAATTCTGTGGATAGCTATAACTCATCTTGAGCCGTTACAATGTTCCTGTATGATCTTGTCAGTCATTTTGACCTTTGCCAACTACATCCTGCCTTTACATGCATCTTTACCTTACATGCACTGTCTCCTTATCTTTTCAGAAAACTCTCACTCATCCTTCAAGACCCAGATTCTCTGGGAAACTGCATACCTACTTTATCATATCACACTGTGTCTGTATTATTTGTTTAAATGCTTTGTTTTCTCCAGTAGACTGTGGTCTTTGCTTTCAGGAACTGAATTTAATTTGCAATATTCCTCCAGCACTAAGCATAGGGACCAACACAGGAGGGACAGGTTGCATAATTGCTTTCATTTATTTACAGGAATGTCCTCATAGACGTCTATGTACCAGGTATTCTGGTAGGCACTGGGGACATAAGGGTGAGCAGGACAGGCAGGATCCTCCACCTTGGTGGAAGAGGTAACCAATTATCAAGGAAGAAAATATAAGAACAAGATACTTTGTATTTGCTTTGCTTCAAAAAACAATGCAATTTAGATAGAGTGAGAAGGTCTCTGTAAATATGACTTCAGACCTGAGAGCCAAAAGATGAGAAGAAATCAGCCATGCAGAGAGCTGGGCAAGTGAGCTACAGGCATGGGGATTAGCAGATGCAAATGTGTGGAGGAAAAGGTCCTGAAATGCTTAGGAATAGACAGGAGACCAGTGCTGCCAAAGGATAAGGAGCAGTGGGGAGAATGAAGTGAGGTTGGTGTAGATAAACCCTGCAGTGCCTCTTGGTAGGTCACATTAAGAAGTTTAAATTTAAAAAAAAAGAAGTTGGAAATTTTTCCCCCCTAAGAACAATAGGAAGGCTTCAAAGGGCAGTGTTTAATAATAATAATAATAATAGTCTGTATAGTTGATTAGGTATGAATCTACTAACTATTAGTCCTGCCTCTGTTCTTTCTATTTACTTGCTGACTTTATTCAGTCTATATGCTGAACAAAGAATCTGATAGACTGGAGCAAGTCGTTCAAGAAGCTGGACTATGTGAAGAGGAATGTGGCATCATGATTGGAGGAAGAGTCATCAACAGCCTGCATTATGCAGATGACAACCTTACTTGTAGAAGGTGAAGAAGTCTTGAAGCACTTACTGAAGATCAAAGACTATATAACCTTCAATATGGGTTACATCTCAATATCAAGAAAACAAAAATCTTCACAACTGGACCAATAAGCAACATTACAATAGATGGAGAAAAGATTGAAGTTGTCAGTGACTTTATTTTATTTGGATCCACCACAAACACCCAGTGAAGCAACTGGCAAGAAATTAAATAACATATTAAAACTGAGCAATCTACTTTCAAAGACCTTTTTAAAGTGCTAGAGCAAGGATGTCAGTGTAAAAACTAAGGTGTGCCTGCCCCAAGCTGTGGTAGTTTCATGTGCATGTTAAAATTGGACAATGAGTAAGAAAGAATTGCTGTCTTTGAAGTAAAGAGTGTTGAATACGTGAGTTTGTAAACTTTTGATGAAGGGTATTGAATATACATGGACTGTCAGAAGAGCAAACAAATCTGTGTTGTAAGAAGTGCAGCCAGAATGCTCCTTTGGAGCAAAGGTGATGAAACTTCAGCTCATGTATTTTGGACATATTTTCAGGAGGATCCTGTCTCTAGAGAAGGACACCCTACTTGGACAGGTGGAAGGTCAGAAAAGGAAAGGAAGACCCTCAATAAGATGGATTGGTGTAGTAACTCCCACAATGGGCTAGAACACAGTGGAGATTATGTGGGTGGTTTAGGATTAGGGAAAGTTTAGGTCTTTTGTATTTCAGGTCTTTATAAGTCATAGTCAACTCAATGGCACCTAACAATAGTAGCATCAACTTTTTTTGGACACAAGCTTGATTCTGTTCAAACTCTAAGATTTTTATTCTTAATCATTGCGTAGATCTTTCCCTTGGTTCTTTGCTATTTTCCTCTTTGGTCTTTACACTTATTAATCACTCCTTCTATGTCCCTGACCACCCTCCCTCCAATGCCCAGTCACTTATCTTCCCTTGCCATGCCCACCTCCTCTGAAGGATCCAGATTCTGGAACTCATCTACGTCCCGCCACCTTAAACCTATAACTTTTTAGTTGAAAAACTCTCATCTAGTGAACTTTGTTGGCATGAATACGTTCTTTGCTGTATTCCTGAGATTTATTTTCTTACTTCAAAATAAAACCAGCCAGCACATTCAAAAATTTCTTATGTACAGCCATGATCTTTACAATCACTTGTTATGCATCAGATACTTGGACAATGACTAGGGAGGATAGAAGGAGAATTGATGCCTTTGAGCTGTGGTGCTGGAGAAGAGTATTGAGTGTACCATGGACTGCCAAGAAAACAAACAGATTCAACCTGGAGAGGGTTAAACCAGGCTGCTCCTTGTAGGCAAGGATTCTGGGGCTTCATCTGACATACTTTGGACATGTTGTAAGGAGGGACAGGTCTTTGGAGAGGGACATCATGCTTGGGAGGGTGGAGGGACAGTGCAGGAGGGGAAGACCCTCTATGAGGTGGATTGATTCAGTGACTGGCGTAATCAGGGTGGGTGTGTTGGAGGCAGTGGGATTGGCACAGAATAGAGCAGGGTTTAGAGCTGTTGTACATAGGGTCGCTTTGAGTTGCAAGCGACTCAACAGCACATAACAACATCAACAACAACAACAGGACAATAAATTAATAAGCAGAATCTATCATCCAGGAAGTTGGGTTCTATAAGGAGGAATGTGACATCAGGATTGAAGGAAAACTCATCAATAACCTGCATTATGCAGATGACACAACCTGACTTGCTGAAACTGAAGAGGACCTGCGGCATTTGCTGCAGAACATCAAATACTGCAGCCTTCAACATGAGTTGAAAGTCAACATCAAGAAAACAGAGATTCTCACCACTGGGCCAATAGGCAGCATCATGATAGATGATGAAGAGGTTGAGATTGTTAACAGCTTCATTTTGCTTGACTCCACAATCAACACTCTTGGCACCAGCAGCTAGGAAATCAGAGACAAATTTCATTGGGAAAATCTGCTGTCAGGGACCTCTCCAGAGTACTGAAAAGCCACAGTGTTAGTCTAGAGACTAATGTGCACCTGAACCAGGCCATGGTCTTTGCAATTACTTGCTATGTATCAGAGAGATGAAAATGACTAACAATGATAGAAGAAGAACTGATGCCTTTGAGTTGTGAAAACATCGACTGCTAAAACAAACAGGATTGTCCAGGAGAGAGTGAAACCAGGCTGCTCCTAGGAGATAAGGATTTTGAAACTTTATCTGACATACTTTGGGCATGCTACAAGTAGGGACCAGTCCTTGGAGAGGGACATCATGCTTGGAATGGTGGAGGGGCAGCGTAAGAAAGGAAGACCCTAGATGAGATGGATTGACTCAGTGATTGGGGTAATGGAGGTAGGTGAGAGACAATGAGGTTGGCTTAGAATAGAGCAGGATTCAGAGCTGTTGTATATAGCACTGTGAGTCACGAGTGACTCGATGGCACCTAACAACATACAACATTAATTGCCCATTTAATCATGACATCAATCCTTTTTTGTTAGGTGCTGTTATTACGTGCCATTTTACATACAAAGAAACCAAGATGCAGAGATCATTCACTAAGTGGCAGAGTGGGGTTTTAACAGGCCTATCTGAACTCAGCCTATGAATTTAATTCCTGCTGACTGGTAAGGTCCGGTGTGATTCTGTGTCCTGAAATCCTTATCTACACCATCTCCTAAAGCCAGTTCTCTATGGTTTATCTTGCTCACTTGTTTTTCTTTCTTCCAGTGGGCCAACTTCACAGGGAGAATAAGCAGAAAGCTTCAAAATCTTTCCTTTCTTCACCTGCAAGGAGCTAAGGAGTGGGAGCCACACTTTTGTCATCCCCAGCGTTTAAGTCACATGTGTAGGCTTTGTCAAGTGAGCAAACAAATCATGACAGCTGCTTTCAGTTTACAGATGGGAGCTACATCTTTTAAGATTACAAAAATGTTCCTTCCTTCTTGGGAAACATAATGTGAACGAAAAATTATATTCCCTCTAAGACCTTCCCTACAATCCTGCAAAAGGAGCTGAAAAGTCAGAAAATTAGAGGAGGCTGCAGGCAGAGCATAATTTAAAAGTCTTTCTATGGGGCAAAGTTGTCCAATGTTGAAGCCAGTTGCCCTGGATGGAGCTCAGGGTAGCAATTATCTATCCCTACAAATAAGACTCTTGGAGGAGAGATTCAGTGATAGGGGAGCTGCTAGACTATGGTTCCTGTGAGGAGTTCTTCAGTGTGGAGAAAATGAAATTCTGCAGTTTAAATGGTTTTAGGTAGAGTGGAACTTAATCTGTTCCTTAATGATGTTCCTGGTTCACTGGACTGTGTTCTCTTCAAGAAAGAGAATGAACGTGACAGGAAGCCCATGGTTTGGATCGCATCCTACCAGGGGAGAGTGGCAAGTGCAGGGTAAGTGTAAATACTTGAGAGCCAGCTGCCAGCGCTGGCCATCCTGGTTGGTGCTGCTCCAGTGGAAGTTCAGAGTTGATCCTTCTCATGTGCTGCTTTCTATACAGTTTCTCCACGTGGTGGTTGAGCTTCCAGAGCCTGGGAGAGCCCTGGAGACTGTTCCATCAAGGAAGCTATTGGGATCTGAAGATAGAGATTTGTGGAAAAGGAGCACTCCTGCCAAGAAGACGAGTCTGTAGAGATTGCAGAAACTACACATTAGCTATCTAAAATCTTATTAAAGTGGATTTATGGCAGAGTGAAAGGATTTTGCAGTCTTGTCTATATTATGTGGAACTCTAATTTTCTCCTTCTTCTGTATTTGCACTTTCAGTAAGCAGAGGAGGCAACAGGAGTCATGGCTTCTGATGCCAGTCATGCGTTAGAGGCTGCCCTGGAGCAAATGGATGGAATCATTGCAGGTAAGGCCAGGATTCTTGCAATCCTGACAGCTCATATGTTGTCCTCAATATTGGAAAAACACTTTTCTCTTCTTTTACTTTGATTTTTTTTAAACCCGTAGTTAGGTGTTTCTTAATGCTATTCATGACATCTCTCTCTTTTTTTTCCTTCTGATTCATGCCAACTTGTGGATATATTCACTTAAAAAAAATTATTCTGATTTATTTACGAAGTTTGAATACATTGTTTTTCACAAAAGTTTCTTCCCATTTCCTGCACCCCATCCACCCATCGAATTATGCAACCTTATGATTAACACTCTACCCCCCAGTCCTCACCCCTCTATTTCCACCCTGTACTCCCTCCCCATGGATTCTCATACTCATTCTACACTAATGGTTTTATACAGTATTTGTCCTTGTGGGACTGGTTTAGTTCACTTATTATAGTGCTCATCAGTCCCTCCCAAGTTAGGTAGTTATTTACAAAATGATTGCTCCTGTGTGCCGCATAATATTCCATTATATAAATGTACCACAACTTCTCAATCCATTCATTTGTGGTTGGACATCTGGCCTGCTTCCTTGTTCTTGTGACAGTGAATAGTGCTGCTATGAACATTGGTGTACAAGTTTCTGTTTGAGCCTCAGTTCTCATTTTCTTGGAGTATATTCCAAGCAATGGAATAGCTGGGTCATATGGAATATTTATGTTCAGCTTTTTAAGGAAGAGCCAAACTGTCTTCCAGACTGGTTGTACCATTGTATAACCCCACCAACAAAGAAAACTACAGACCAATATCTCTCATGAATATAGATGCAAAATCATAGCAAATAAAATCCAAAAGCACATCAGAAAAATAATTCACCGTAAGTATAACTTTTAATTTCTAACTGGTATGCAAGAATGGTTCAACATAAAAAAAACAATCAACGTAATTCACCGTATTAACAAAATAAATAATAAGAATCATATGGTCTTAGCATTTGATTCAGAAAAGGCATCTGACCAAATCCAACATCCCTTCCTGATACAGGCACTCAGAAAAATTGGAATAGAAGGGAATTTCCACAACATAGTGAAAAGTATATACACAAAACCAAGAGCCAGTATTATTCTTAATGGAGAAAAACGAAAAATATTTTCTTTTCTTCTTTTTTCTTTTTATTAAGAGCACAAACTTAATAGGACTCTAGTATCTGGTATGATTGCTCAGATCTAGGTGAGACCTTTTGGATGTGCCATATGTTAGCATGCACACAATCTTGTGTCTTAGTTATCTAGTGCTGCTACTACACAGTTGGTGGACTGTTCTGACAGATTAGACTCCTTGATGGGATGGACAACTAAAAGAAACCCTATTGTTTATAAGGAACCTGATGTTAAAAAGAACTCAAAAAGATCTCGAAAAATCCCAGTTCTTCATCTGGTTTTAGCTGATACAGTTGAGTGACATTATTTACAGACTGGGTATGCTGCTTCCAGACCTTGCTTCTCAATCTATGACTATAGGAAATAGTTGAAGATGTACTGCGCCGAGTGTAGCTGGACCTCAGGTAGCGTTTGGGGGACTTGACTTTGTTCCTTTTCTTTCAGTTACCAGTGGAGTCCCAAATGGACTAAAAATATCCTTGCTTTTACCCCAGTAAAGAATACTTGGAAAAAGTGTTTGGATGAACAAACTATTTTTTCCTTGTATCAAGTAAAAAGGAAATTGTGGCTAGTGCCTTTGAAAAATGCTGTCTAGAAGATTAGGTTAAAAGTAAAGGAAAGGGCTCATATTTATTTAGTATTTTTAAGAGGGAAAATATGAGGTTTTCTTGAAAAAGGAGGTATAGTGTAAATCAGTGTTCATGAACAGCTGGTCTTCAAAATGGAACCCTTCTAGCTAAGTGCCGTCAGAGTTTCATCATCATAGATCATGTGCTTTAGGGTTTTTTCCATGGTAAGTTTCTCTGGATAATAGTATAGCACTCTTTGCTCTTGTGCATACATGGTACCGGAAAGCTCTTGTAGATAACTTTAAACAAGGTAAAGCTTGGGAGGAAGGAACCCCTGGGGTAGCTTGTATTAGCTGAATTCTGTGGTGGCTTTGGTATGGTGTGACCTGGGCCTTGTGACAAATTGCTTGTGCCTGACCTTCCTATCTGAACAGTTTTAGGGGAAAAGTACTTTGTCATAATGGGGGGGGTGGGGGGAAAGATCCTTTTTATTCAGCATTTTGTGTAAAGAGGAAAAGAAAGTAGGAAAACTAGAAAGCTTGTGGTCAGAGTAGTTTCCACTAGAGTTCAAACGTTGTTACAAACTTAGCAGTACATGTAATAGGAAAGCTCAGTTAAGGTTTCTCCTTCCTAGGGATTGTGAGGATGGCACAGTATAGGGTATGGTTCAGATTTTTGGTTCAAATGGTTGCTATATGTCATAGATGACTTGATGGCACCTAACAACAGCAACAACAATTTTTTTGAAGACTTAAAGTTCCATTTCTTAAGTAGTAATTTACTCAAATATGTTTGATATTAGTTATTTGGCAGATGATTCTACAACAAGGTCACTAATATCTGAAAGGCATATCATCTATTGGTGAAAAGAATAATAATATTGAATGCCATTGTGATAGGCACTTTGCCATAAGATTGTTGGTACCATTCTCCTTTTCAAGATGGCTGGGCTAAAAAGGTTACTTAGGTCATTTCAGGGGGTTTTTTACATTGATTATAAAGTCAGATTCCTGGGAGTTGAATCTCAGCTACATTTGAATCTTTGGGCATGTTGGTTAATCCCCCTAGGCCTTGATATCTTTCTTATAGAAAACAGTGGTAATAATTATCTCTCTCTCATATTCAAGCAGCAGTAAAAGCATTGGTAAAAAATAAGGCCCCAGAAATTGATGTGATACCAATTGACATGTTTGAGCTACAAGATGCACCCTGAACATGCTCTTCAGTTTATGCCAGGAAACGTGGCTTCTTGGCTAACTGACTAGAAGAGGTCCATATTTATTTCCATTCCCAAGAAAGATGACCTAACAGAATTTGGAAAATATCAAACAATGTCATTAATAACACATATAAGCAAAGTATTGCTGAAGATCATCCCAAAATGTTGACAATAGTACATTAAGAAAGAATTGCCAGTTCAAGTTGGGTTTAGAAAAGGGTGGGGCACTCGGGATATCATTGTTGATGTATCCTGGCTGAAAGCAGAGAATACCAGAAGCCTGTGTTTTACTGACTATGCAAAGACTAAATGGATCATAACAAATTATGGCTAACATTGAGAAGAATGGGAATCCTAAAACACTTAATTATGCTCATATGAAACCTATTCTTAGATCAAGAGGCTGTTTTCCAAAAAGAATAGTGGAACACTTTCATGATTTAAAATAAAGAAAAGTGTGTACTGGGGTTTTATTCTTTCTCCATACATATTCATTCTGTATGTTAAGCAAGTAATTCCAGAACTGGACTCTATGAAGAAGAATGTGGACTAATGATACGAAGAAGACTTATCAACAGCCTGTGTTATACAGATGACACAACCATGCATATTACTGAAAGTGAGGAAGATTTGAAATGCTTGCTGCAGAAGATCAAAGACTACAGCTTTCAACGTACATAACATCTCACTATCAAGAAGACAAAAATCCTCACCACTGGACCAATAAACAACATCATGATAGATGGAGAAAAGACTGAAGTTGTTAATGATTTCATCTTATTTGGATCCACAGTCAATACCCTTGGTACCAACAGTCAGAAGATTAGGAGACCTACTGCATTGAGAAAGTCTACTGTCAAAGACCTGGCTTTCTTTCAGGCTCCTTTTGTTCCTGTTTTCATTTTATGATGTTAGCCGTGGAGGATCATCAAGAGCTCTGTGGGTGGTTTATGAAAGGAAAGATTTAACTGGCAAGGTACAGTTCTCCTTTTGCTTCCAAGCCCATCGGCCAGAGCTATTTTGTTGTCGTGTTTTACATATTGATGTTCCAAATAAGTATTCCTTTGGGAGTACAGCTAAAAGAAAGTTTGACACCATGAAACAGTTTTGTGAACATTTAACACTTCATTTTTGTTGTTGATTGCCTTCAAGTCGAGCACAGCTCAGCAACTTTAAGAACAAAAGGCCTGATGCCCCTCTACAACTATTGACATTTATCAAAGTTCATAAAGTTTCCAGAGGCATGTTGTTTAGGAAGTGGATGCCACTCCTGCTGCAACACCTGTCATAGAATGTTACTGGTTGAGTCGCCTGCGATGCATAGTGACGCTATGTACAGCAGCTAAGCAGTGTTGCCATCAGTACCAAAGCACAACTGCATTTACATCTGTTAAAATACTTGAACAGGTACCCAAGGATTGTGTTCTCTACCTTATGAAAACAACTGACAAATTATCCATGGAAAACATTTTAATAGGCTTCCCAAGTTTCTCAAATTATAACAACTTATATGAAAAACAGGAAACTCTGGTAACATTGTTCATAGAGAGTTGTGCTGCAAATCCCCAGACTCCCCATCTCCAGAAGTTTGAATCCACCAACCGCTTACTCAGGAGAAAGATGGGAAGTCTCCTCTGGTGAGGTTTATAGCCTCAGAAACTCAATGGATGGCCACTGTGAGGTGTATAAGCTACATGGCAGTGAGTGAATAAGTAATAACAGCAAACTCACAGTAAAATTTATATCATTACTTCAATAGTTATCATTAATAAGCATAATACTACATAACAAGAAACTTTAATATATACCAATAGCGTAAAAGGGGTTGTCTTGGCCTTGTGGTGAGGAGTTACACAAAATTTAACCCACCCAGCTGCTCTATGGGAGAAGGACAGGCAGTCTCGTCCTGTCAGTTTACAGCCTCTGAAAACCCACCTAGAGGGTCAGCTATGAGTCAGTTCTGACTCCACAGCACACAACAACAATAGCAACAACAAGAATAATAATCTAAAATTAGATTTAGACCAATTAGACTTAAAGGGTAGTGGTGGTGTTCAGTGGTTGGATTTTCACATGTGTA